CCTTCCAAATGTAAAGCAGACACGAAATCAAACCATACCATGAAATAACGTTTTTTAATTGGAAAATTCAATGTAAAAAAGTACAATCAACACGAGATTTAAAAGACGACACTATATTATATCAAGGAAAAACGATCAAGGTTTTTGAAAAACTTACCTTCCAAAAACGATCAAGGTTTTTGCGATCTTACCACTCGAACTCAGGCAACCATTGTTTGGTTCCCTAAAGACACATGTACCACATTTCAAGCTGCTGAAATTCACGCAAGAATGATTAAATTTCATCAGAAATTCTTCACTATTTCAGTTCCGTTTGAAAAAGTAAGCTCAATAAAATAAGGTCGGAAAATGTATAAAAATTTTGATTGAATAGAAAACAAGTTAACACGTTTTAAATTTTACCCTGAAACAGAAGTCGTTTGCAAATATACTGCACTACTTTATAAAACACAATACTCAGAATTTCTTGTCGAATACGAAAAAGGTTTCGATGTATAAACAGGAATATTAAATCATTAACACGGCTCAACCGTACCAAAGTTGCAACGACGTACTATACTTGTACTAAAAAATATCACCATCATACGTTTTTGACAATAAACGATGTATTAAAAGAATCCCAATTTTCTACAAAAACACAGTAAGTTTTGTTGACATACTTTCCAGACGCACAAATTTTTCAGTAAAAGACGTCCCATGTGGATCTGAAAACAGCCACAAATTAGTACAGCTAAACCTAAACGAAGATAAAGACTACCTTCTCACCCACAACCTACTCTTACGCCACCATTAAAAAATTTCTCACCAGAAAGCAGCAGAGCCATCGCTCGTAACCCAAAAAAAGACTTAAAACCAATAGGTATTTTTTCCACTTCCGACATACAACATCACATTAACAGAATGCGAATTTGTCCATAGGATAAAGACAGAGTACAAGTGTACTAGAACTACTTCACGAATGGTGACATTTTAACAAAACAATTTCACGAATTTCTTATTAAAATAGACACAACCCAAAGACAACCAATAGAATAAAATTTACATCCTTTGAAGATATAAAAGACTACATATATTTCAACGGTGAAAAATACCGTTCACAAAATATCTCATCTATAAATGTTTTTAGAATTGCCAATCTAAAAAATAGCTTGTCTAGGATGGCTCAAAAATGGACTATATTAATTTAGTTTTTTTGGATTCTTTTCTCACTATTTAAAGGAATCTACAACACATGCGCAATACACACACAAGTAAACAAACAAGCAAGAGTAGCACGCATTTTATTTGCAAGATTCAATACAAATCCAACACCTACAGGACCGTAATTAAAAAACTTACAAAATAACCATCCTTTATCTTTAGTACCGCGAAACTATTGAAAAATAGCAATAACAGAGCACATCGCTCCAAGTCATAGCTACCCACAAAGTCCAGTTTCTCATTTAGTAGATCACCAACAAAATTTTGACGACACATATGAACAGATTATAGAACAACCACGCACAACAAATTTCCGTTCTCAAAACAACCGTCTTTTTAGCCCACGATGAGCCGCCACATTGGATCCCTCAACCGTTCCATTTCCTACACATCCAACCTCCAATGTCACTCCTTTGCACTTCCCTTTCTGAGCACATTTCCTCGCTCTTACCCACTTTCACTACTAACTCACCACGCATTGATTCGGATGATTCCACGCACACAGTTTATTAACACAATTTCTCAATTTGATAACTCCGATGTCGATGCCCCAAATGAATTTCAAAATTCCGAACCCAGCCAATCCACTTTATCTCAACCTCCCTTCCATCCAATCCATCCTCAACTTCCCGATGAAACCTCCCCAGCCCCCTCTTCCTACACTGACGCAACATCAATACTCTCCCCTTTGACCAGTTATCAGCCCCCTCCCCCTATCCCTGTCACTGAAGCATTAGAAAAAGAACTAGGCAACTTTATCACATTACAGCAACAGCTTCAAAACACTAATACACTAACACTTCATCAGCTATCACATTCGGTTTCATCCTCTGAACCCTTAAATCAAACAATCACAACAGTAGGAAACCGTGCCCACCGAGTCTTCCAACGAAAGCATCATAGCCAACATGTTTTCTATTAACCATTACGACCACGCTATTGCAGTTTATATGGAGAAACAGCTACAGAAGATGACCCTCATTTAACCCTCATTTAACTGAAAAATTCTCAATAAAATCAAAATATGTATTAATCATTGATAGCATGAACAAAAAATTAGACAATTTTAATTCGACCGCTCTCGAAAATACTAAAGCTTATGAATCCTACTTTAATGAATTTATACTAACCTTTCACTTCCTCAGAACCAAGGATTGTGCAATGTTCACATGAAATTTTGTTACGCACAAAATTACTTCACACACACCTACTATATTTTCATTCAACACCACTACATAACTAACAGACCAACACAAAATCCACAGCAAAGATATACATTCATTAACTCCAAATACACATCGCCATACGTTCTAAAATGTAATTATTGTATCAAAAATACTAACACACACGACATCCTCCGTAACTATGATCCCATCAGACAAATGTATATATTCTGCCCTCTAACCAAGTCTTTCGACATTGAAAAATCCTGCCCACTAATCATATACTAACACACACGAAATTCTCCGTAACTATGACCCCATCAGACAAATGTACATATTCTGCTCTCTAACCAAGTCCTTCGACATTGAAAAATCCCGCCCACTAATCATCCCCTACGAATATTACCCTCCCATCGATGTCCATATACTAGAATACATACAAAATACTAGATATAATCACAAACTATACAACTTAACCCAAAATACATTGCATGAATTCTCACTGAATAACAAAGAGCACAACATCATCCGAGCACACGAGCTTCTATGGCCTCTTCTTCAGACTAAAAACGTCATCCGCATGCTTGCAAAACTCCTCACTTCATCAGACACTATTCGCACTAATTTCCCTTATGGATGTTTTGACGAAGACAACCCTGTGTAGGTAAAATTTAATATTTTAAACAATAACTAAAAGAAACCCTTTTTCATATATGTCTCATTTTAATTTTTCAGATTTCATCGTTCACTCATCTAAAACAACCAAAACAAATTGAAAATTGTAAACTCTTTTTTTAAAAAAAACTTTCCAATTCAAAGTTAATAATTGCAGTATATAATGAAAGTAGTAGTGATTCTTTTTCAAAAGCAGTATACTTTCATGTTTTATTGGAACCGAATAAAACACAAAAAAGTCAAAAAAAACCCAAAACAAAAGTTTTGACTTTTGGGAAAAGGACATTACCAAAACGAAAAAAAGAAAAAAAACCTAATGAAAATGAAACAAAAGGTTGAGCATAAAAAGAGATTCTGCCCAAAGAGATCAGAAAATGTAACCCACTTTGGCCTCACCCACCAGAACGACGTCGCTCGCAGAACATGCCCACACCTTGCACTACGACTCTGAAATTCAATTTTTGATAAGAATGGCTCCAGAGTGAGCTACTCTTCAAATTAACTGAATTGAAACAAAACAATTTTGCTAAAATAACTAAAATTAAATCATAATTAAAAACTGATTCCACTAACAAGATGTAGATATGTAAATGCAATATGATGTAAAGTTTTATTAGAGCCCAAGTAACGAGCAGCAAAGGAGATGAAAACTCGATTACATTCGAACTCTTAAATGGCAACTCTATTTATTTTGTTGCCGTAATCACCACTCTCAAACGATTTAAAGTATGGACTCAACATCGCAGCAAAGGAAACCCATTGAAACAGACCAATGACCATCTCGATAATGATCTCACATACCAATACTAGTCACTTGTCAATTCACACGGAAAAGTCAAACTTCATCCTGCACGTAGTGTCGCTCTAAACTTAATGAAATCGGTACATCATTCCATCGATCTGAAGTCTTGGCACAATCACCCAAGACGATCCACGATCAACGAGACCCATTTTTGAAACACGAGAAAACGATCTTCTTCTCTCTACTCTAACAACTAATTGTCTCCTCTCTTCAAGAAGTCACTGTTCAAACTTCTAAAAGAAAACTACTTCACCCGTCATTCACAATATTAAAAATTTAAAAACTAAAATCTTATTGTTTTTTCAGAAAGTAATTTTAGTTTTAAAATTGTTGTAAAAACTTTAAAAAGCGTTATAAGATTCTTCTTAAACTGTAAAGCTGTTAATCTTTTGCAAATTCAAAATTTCGAAATGAAGTAAAAAAAAATCTCTATCTACAAATTTCGGTGTACGTTTTTGGGAAAATCTTTTTTGTTGTTCTTTGCACAAAACTTTTTCAGCTCATAAGAAGCCCAAACTATCGTGAAAGAAAAACAACGACCTTAATTGAGTGTAGAAATCATTCTTGGAGGGTTTTTTTGTGTCCCGCTATTTCTTAAACTGAAATTGAAAGGTAATCCAGAAACTAAAAATTTGGTGTTCAGAGATACTTATTGTACAGTTGTGCTTTTTAATTTCAAAAATCTTAGATTTAAAAAGTAGTGAATCTTTTGTGTATAAGTTTCACTAATATTACGCTCCAGATTTCTGCAAAAATATATGAGACACAACTATTTTTTTTCTGAGTTCATAGCAAATTACTCATTAAGTTGTGTGTTTCATCTATTTTTCTTTATTCTTTTGTTTTTCCCGGATGTTTTCCCTGATTGCAGAGTTTTCTCTGGATTCTACACAACACGCAACATACACACACATACGCAACATACACACACATACACCCAAAAAAATGTGCATCTGATAAAGGTACAGTTGGGCATCGTAACTGACATTAAAATCTGCTTTCAATAAAATAAGTCTAACACTTTGCAGCAGGTTTGAAAAAAACCACAAACTCTGCATTTCATTGAGCTCTCCAGTGCTGCATTGTTGAAAAAAAAAGATCTAAGATCAACTGATTTTCTTCACTCCTAAAACTCATCATCATTTATTACCTTATTTTAGCATCTACTTCTGCATGAGACGATTTGTGACTACGGATGTTAACATTTCTCGCGTTGCTCAGTGGAATGACTCAACAGAATTTGAGATCCTAAGTCGCTACAATTACAGAAGCATCAATTGGTACTCATTCGATGAATCTGAGCCTACAGGTAATGTCCCAGTCTCTCAGAATCTCAGTCATCATCATTCCGAAAGAAAAATCTCACTTTTTAGAAGGCTATTTATGAGAAACCATTAGTCTCAATCCTTCATTTTCTGAAAGATCCTGAAACAATTCTGCTTTCAAACTAAAAAATCAAACTAAAACATGATTAAGTGAGTCCAAATCAATTATTATTAAGGTAATCTACTTTGCGTGAAAAAATGAGATAATTAGATATATTTTTTTCAGAATTAATCAAAAAGTAAACTTGATTAGTCTCATTATGAAACGCAAGAAAGTTTTTCACGAAGCGATAATGCGATGCAACTTTTACAATGGCTCCTTGTTGCCTCCTTGAAAAACAAAACATTTTAAAAGTTAAAACGCTTTTTAAATTTAACTTGGATTTGAAATTTTTAAAATAACCTATTTGGAACAATAATCGCACGCTTTTCTGATTTCTATGAGCTGTAGAACGTAAAAATCAGGCAATGAATGAATCGAGACAAGCAATGCTGTTGCACATGAAGCGTTGAAAAAAAATGTAACATTTTAGAGCTGAGTATAAAAAATTCGGTTTCCACATTTGATATAACGAGTAAAAAAGGAGTCGGAAAATTCAGGACAATCTGTTTTTTGCGATCTGTTTTTATCCTTGACAGGTTGTGAGTTTTTGAGTTTTCGATATTATTTTGGTTTTAACTAAAATTTCATTCCTAATTAGATTTCAAGTACTCAATAATTTATTGAAACTTAAGAAATTATACATACAAAAAGATTCAAACGATGTATTAAAATAATTTATAGGGTTTTCAGAAAAACGAATTCGAACGGCGGTGGTCTAGCTTTCTTTGGGTTCTTAAAAATAAATCCATATAAGTTCTGGTGGTAACTTCCCAAATGGCATAATTCCCAAATGGCATAAAAATGGAAAATTTTCCCAAATGGCATAAATTTCAAGTTTTCATTGTTATTTAAACGTTTTCTATCAATTTCTATTTCTATCATTTTGTCAGGAACAAAAGTATGTGAACAAGATTTGGAATTAATTGCTTCCAAACAAATTTAAGCAACAGATTTGTCGAAAAAAATGACCACATGAAGCTTAATAATAATCGCAAGCTTATGCTTCTACAAGTTTTTCACAATAAAATGTCAATCAACATTTGAATTGACAGTTTGACTAATTTTCTCACATTGTTCACGAAAAAATGTTCTCAATTTTTCCAAAGCAACTGTTGCATGAAATTTATGCCATTTGGGAAATTTTTCATTTTTATGCCATTTGGGAATTATGCCATTTGAGACGTAATCGTTCTGGTTAGGAAACGAAAACCAGAATCAAATGATTTTGTATTTACATTGGGTTGATATCTAGCATCTGAAATTTAAAAAAAAATAATTCCATTTTTCAGTTCGTTTGTTTTCAGCATGCTGCAAATTTCAGATCCGAACTTATGAATTGTTTGGTCAGGACTATGGAATGTCTCCTCAAGACTACATGAACAAAATGACAGACTTTTCTAGCGATGGAAAACGCTTAAGAAACGTCAAGGTAAGTCTTAACGCCGAGGATGGTTGGTTGTCGAACGTTAGGCACTAATATCATATTGTCTCATGCACATAGCGATTTGTAATAGCGACTGAAATTCAAATTACGGTGATATGCTCTATACTTTTGCTTAAAATTATAATCAAAAACTTTCGAAGAAAAAAGAGTGAGGAAATGTGAATGTTGATTGTGACACAGTCAACGATGCAAAATCTTCCAGTTTAGCGAAATCCAAACAACTAGATCGGGATTGATTACCCGAGTTAACAAAATATGTTTATCAAACATATCCAAACTATGGGAAAAAATATTATCATTTACTTCTGGAGATTCAAAAACTTGTACGAAAAAAACATAAGAAGCATTTTTCTGCCGTATGGAATCGTAAGACAAACACTTTTTTCATACTATCGTAAAGTATGACAAGCATGTTTTCCATTATATCTTTCGCGTTTTACCCTGAAATTAGAATATTTAGTTTTCTCCAAAATGAGTACCAAAAGGTTAAACAGCATTGAGGCTGTAAATTAATTTAGGTTTTGATAAATACCAAGCAAGTTAAGCAGTTAAGTTTTATTTAAATTTTAAACGAAAATATAACAGTCACAGAGAACCAAGACTGGCCATGGACTAGGTTATAAGCAAAAGTTTGAACGTTTTGGAAGCAAACATTTTTTGGAGCACTCTTTCTTTTCATACAGCTGGTTTAGCGACTAAAATGAGAACCAAAACACTTCTTCCTCAGTTTTAGATTTTTAAAATTGAAAAATGGCCTATACAGTTTTTCTAAATAAAAATGCATGGTAAGCTTTTTTTGCTTTCGTTTTTTTGCCATAAAAATCAAAATGATAATGACCAAAATGATTTCGTTAAAAAAATTGAATGTTGAAAACAATTAATTTTACCCAAGAAGCTTTTCGGAAAGTTTTTTGTAAAAAATATTTTTCTTGAAAAAATTGCTTATTGAACAAATTTCATATGAGAATTGTTGAAACGCAATTTTTATAGAATCCATCCATGGAATTGTATTTAAATGTATCCACCCAGTTTTGCATGGACTTGTGTAATAATCACTCTTGTAAAGTTGTAAAGAGACAGTTCAGGATCTAACATTATTGATTTAGTTTATACGACCCTCAAAAAAGGTATTTTTAAGTATATTTGTTTGAAATACTACGAGGTCAAAATTTGCTGTATTTGGTGTCTGTTTGTTCCTGGATTCCAGAAACAAGACTTTGAACATTTTCAAAAAGCAGGTGGATTCCTTGTACAAAATATCAGTGGATTCCACGTACAAATATCTCTAACGTAAACTTTGTCGACACATTGGTTTTGTTGCGGATTCCGCAACGAGAAAGTGTAGATAGTTACAATGTGCGGATTCAACTTACAGTTGCGGATTTTGCGACAGCCTAACTTTACCAAAACATATATTAATATTTGCTCATGGATTCCACAAACTGGTTCCGGAATCCACACATTTGGTTGCGGACTCCGCAAAGTTGCCTGTTTTTGGAGCGACTTTGAACGTAACGTAAATTTGGGTGGATACAATTCAATACAGTTCCATGGATGGATTCTATAAAAAATTCGTTTCAACAATTCTAAGATGAAATTTGCTCAATAAGCATTTTTTCCAAGAAAAATATTTTTTACAAAAATTTTCCAAAAAGCTTCTTGGGTAAGTTTAATTTTTTTAAACAATTAGTTTTTTTAACAAGATCATTTTAGTAATTATAATTTAAATTTTATGGCAAAAAGCAAAAGCAAAAAAAGGTTACCATGCATTTTTTATTTATAAAAACTGTATAAGCCATTTTTCAATTTTCCAGTTTGTTATCAATTGCTATGCACCTAAATCCAACCAGCTAGATCGGGGTTGATTACCCGAGTTGACAAAATAAATTTATCAAACATTTCCACACTATGGGAAAAATATTATCATTTATTTCTGTAGATTCAAAAACTTGTACAAAAAGCATAAGAAGCACTTTTCTGCCTTATGGAATTGTAAGAGAAACACTTTTTCCATACTATCGTAATGTATGACAAACATGTTTTTCATTATACGTTTCGTGTTTTACCCTGAAATTAAAATATTTAGTTTTCTCCAAAATGAGCACCCAAAGGTTATACAGCATTGAGGCTGTAAATTAATTTAGGTTTTGATAAATGCCTAGTAAATTAAGCAATTAAGTTTTAAAACACAACCGTCACAGAGAACCAAGACTGTTCATGGACTAGGTTATAAGCAAAAGTTTGAAAGTTTTGGAAGCAAAAGTTTTTTGGAGCAATCTTTCTTTTCATAAAACTGGTTTAGCGACTGAAATGAGAACCAAAACACTTCTTCTTCAGTTTTAGATTTTTAAAATGGCCTATACACTTTTTATAAATAAAAAATGCATTAAAACTTTTTTTTTTGCTTTTGCTTTTTTGCCATAAAAATCAAAATTATAATGACCAAAATGATCTCGTTAAAAAAACTGAATGTTGAAAACAATTTAACTTACCCAAGAAGCTTTTTGGAAAGTTTTTGTAAAAAATATTTTTCTTAAAAAAATGCTTATTGAACAAATTTCATAAGAGAATTGTTGAAACGCAATTTTTTTAGAATCCATCCATGGAATTGTATTGAATTGTATCCACCCAGTTTCAAATGGATTTGTGTAGCAATCACTCTTGTAAAGAGACATTTCAGGATCTAACATTATTGTTTAAACGACCCTTAAAAGAGGTATTTTTTTAAAGGCATTGAATTAGTATTTGGATCATTTTTAAATCCGATGTATTCGAAGTTTGTGCGTTGTAATAAAAAATAAAAAAATTCAAGATTTGTTATTTAGTATTTCGAAAATAGAGAGTACTGATAGGATAATTGATTCTTTTAATTTCGATACGGTCATAAAAAAGCAGAGTCCACATTTTTTATAAACACTTTTGCATTGAATTAAAAATTGGAAATATTATACAAACAAAATTTCTTTTTCATTCCGAGTTTTTTTCTTGGATGATTTTGTTTTTACTCATTCAATATAACATTTATTGGTGATTATGCTTTCTACAATTGTCTAGCTTTGCAGATGTTGTATAAATTTTTCTCATCTTTCAAATGAAATTATATTAATTTTCTGATTTTTTTGAGCTTCCAACTAAATTTAACTCTAATATTTAGAAAAGTGTTTCAAAAATTGTAATCATAATTAAAACTTTTTGAATTGCACAAATACCTATTGGTATTTTTGTTTTGACTTTCATAACGAAAAAAGCGGAAAATTTGTGCTCGGGGTGGTTTTTTCTTCTGACAAATTTCGAAATTTTAACTAGCCTTTTTTTGACGAAAGTTTAAAAAATCATTTGAAAGGTTTTGTTGTCCTGAGCTTAAATTGGAAAAAATATATTTTACCTGTGATCTTTTTTCGTGAAGTTATGGGGGTTTAAAGATTGTCATTTTTGCATATTTGGGACAAATAACTTGAAGTGTATTTCGCACAATTAATGCGTAAACGGAGATTTAATCCGTCTTAGAAATCGTTCCAAATTGGTCAAAGGAAGCTTAGTTCCATCCCTGATTTGTTACTGGCAGCGACAATTTATACTTTATATGGCGCAAAGGGGGATGCGCTTTTTTTTCCATTTGATTTATTACATTTAATTTTGTCATATTATTACTAGCTCATTGAACTTAAGAGGCAGTCGGAACTCTCAGGGATTCGTCTTGATACGAGCAGTATTAAAATTATTATGACTACAATTAATCTTGCATCGCTGATTGCATCTAAATCAATTGCATCATAAGCAATTTCAACAGTAGCTGTTCTTCGCAGCTAAATTTTCTCAAAAAAATATTTTTGTCATTCTGTCAAACACCTCTC